GCCTTCAAAACTATATTATACTCAAACTACTCGATCCACTCTGTTCATTTTGATTTATATGTTTTGGATTGAATACAAATGAAAAATAGACATATTGGTTTGTAATTACTTATGCTTCAAGTGAATATAAAATTAATGGTTTTATGACAATATAAATAAAGAGACAATAAAAAATATGTGCTAGAAGTATTTAATCATCATGATTCTTGTTATATTGATATTTTGAGACATTTAGATCACAATGAATGGAACGGATCATCAATCGAAATAGTCTAATTCATGAATCAAGAGGCGCTACCTTAGATTGAATGTAAGGTGCCACTTTATGATCACTTTTTACTGACTTTATTGTCGGAGGAAAACCGGAGAACCCAACTCTGTCCTCTTACAATTTTTTGCCTGTGCAAGGAAGAACAGCCCACTTCAGAACCGAACATTCGGAGGGTTAGAGGACATCCGTCAACCAAATAACTTCTCTCATTGACTGTTTGATATCAGCCATCAACTACACACACGTGCTGTGTGTGTGTTATATATATACTATATATATATATATATATATATATATATATACTTATATATACTATATATATATATATGATATATATAATCATACTATATATATCGTGCTGTGTGTGTGTATGTGTGTGTGGTGTGATGGTGTGGTGTGTGTGTGTGTGTGGTGTGTGTTATGGCGAAAAGTGTTCACTACGAGTGACGGCCGCTTAGATAAATCCATCTAAAGCGACGCAGCCTAAATATCACTATGATGAAGCTACATCTGTAGATGATCCGCTCCGTTGACCTTGCGATCTACATATTCTAAAACCTCCAACACACCAAGTTTGGGTGAACTCTCGTCGTCAGTTGATGACCCTTCATCCACTCGTATCAATTTTAACGGCTTTTGTAATATAGCAACTTTCACATAGGCCTCGACGGTAGGGTCAAACCGACGAGCTGTTCACCCCAAACTTGTGGGGTGTTGGTGGTTCTAGAATATGTATATCCAAGTTCAACAGAGCGGATAACATCCACAATATAGCTTAATCATGTGATTTTAGGTCGTCGTCCTACGCATGATTACCTAAGGCGTTACCTTCAGGAACACTTCTCCATATAATATATATATATATAATATACTATTATAGTATATATATATACACACAACATCATACATATAGGTATGTATATATCCACACACAGCACACCAACTTATACTATTATAATATATATATATATATACTATATATATATATATATATATATATATATATATATATGTGTCAGTGGTGGGTGTGTGTGTGCTGTGTGTGTTGTGTGGCATAATATACAATACATATTATGTATGTGTGGTGCGGTGGGGGCTGCACTCACTGGTTGTGTGTGGTGTGTGTTTCATATTAATATATATATATATATATATATATATATATATATATATATAGGGTCATGTGAATCTGCGGTGACTCCGTAGGCTGTCATCTGAGGATGCGCGATCTGGGCCGTTTATTCAAAACCCCTCAGAGAGATCTGAGCCCTTCGTTGAAAATCCCATCCCCCCAAAATCCCTACCCCTCTCTCATCTCTCCCGCCCAGATCGCGCCATCACCTCCCGCCTCCTCCTCTACAGCGCCCGAAATCGCCGCCGGAGCTCGCCGCCCCCGATCATCGTCGCCGCCGGCTCAAGATCGCGCATTCGGTAGCCATCACCGACCTCCTCCCCCTCACCACCGCCCGAAAGCGCCGGCGCCCAAGCTCGGCC